TTTCTACCCAAAAGTCTACGTGTCGCCTCCATAATTTTCTTGATTATTTTTTGCTCCACAATAACCACCCGAACAATCCACTACTTGAAAATTAGAAAAATTCAATTGTTTTACAATAAAAGACGTAAAAAATCCATAAGTGCTGTAATTAGAGTTGGTTTGACATTGCTGAAATATTTTCAAAAACAGCATTATAAAAAAGTTAGGATTAAAATTGTGTTTGATAAATGACATTAGTATTATTTTTTTAAATTATTGATCCAAAGCAGTAGAAACCCCTGCTTTTAAAAACGTTTTTCACACCACGACAACCCAAAACATGCTCGCAGCCTTCCGACACCTTTCGCTGGCGGCTCATCAATTGCCTGTTTTGATGCGGTAAGTCTAATTTGATGGCTTAAGTTTTAAATTACATTGGGTACTTGTCTTTTGACCTTTCCGGTTCCGGATGAAAGATAACAAAAAAGAACTTTAGGGAGGTGGTGGAGTTGGGAAGAGATTAAACTTTTTTTTTTTTTTTTTGAATTTTATGAATAAGTTTATAATAATTTGGTTAATGGAAATAAACTTGAGAATTAAAATGGTCAAATTAAAAATAGGAAAATTATTTGTGGTTAGTTTTGCAAAATGGGACATGACAACAATAATTGCCTTAGAAGACAACAACTTTATAATCTTAACCCAGAGGAACAAAAAAAAATGTAAATATAGCATTCCAAGACCGAATGCATTGGACACATGTCCATATCATTCCCAGCTGAACAAAAAATGTTTAAAACATATTCTAATACCACCAAGTGGAAGCAAATTAGTTCTTAGAATACATTGGACAATTGTCCATATCATTCCCAGCTGAACAATAAAAAAAATGTTTAAAACATATTCTAATTCCACCAAGTGGAAGCAAATTAGTAGTAGCTTGCAAGACCAAATCGAAGAAAATTCAACAAAATCTAGCAAAATAAAGTGTTGCCTAGTAGAAGGGCTAGGCAACCTGTAAGTACACATAATTTGTTCATATAATTTCATATGAAATAGACGGCTGGAATGATTTCTTGATTTGTTTTAAACCGACTCTTGGAGGACGTTTGGCAAGCAGAGGGGGTCATGTGGGGCAAGTTACAAGGCAACCAACTTTGAATCCAATTGCAAATCAAGTAGTTTCACAGGGACCTCAGATGGTTTACTATCCTATTACAAGTGAAGGCGGTTCAGAAGTATCTCATAAGGTTATCGATCCTAATTTCATTTCGGAAGGGTCACAAACTAAGTCATTGATAGCAAGGATATGCCAAACGGTCAAGCTTATAGAGATCAAAAATTTTAAATCAAATTACAAATTAAATAATGTGTTACCAATAAGAAACAAGCACGTTAATCGATACTTAAATTAATAATCTAATCATCTACAACCACATCATTTAGTTTGCAAATTTGGTTCAAAAAATTTGGTCTCCCTAGCATTACGTTTTAGTAAAATAATGTAAAATTCTTTGTGAAACCATCCCACTTGCTCAAGTAGGTTTTACTATTAATACACCGTCTTACAACCAATATTTTTAACATCACACACTTCTATAAATTAGAACGGCGATTGGTCCTGCCTATCTAAAACATTTTGAACTAAATTTACAGAAAAAGACTCTTGTTCTAGTTCTGCACTTCTTGCGAATCCAAATACCAAATACAAACCCTCTTTCATTTTCATCTTTGTAGGTCAGTATGCGAGAATCTCAATTCTGAAGAAATAAGAACTAATCAAACTTTAGAGTGTGGAAGTCCGACCGGTTATTCGCATCATCTTCTTCCCACATATCAAATTACCCTAGACATAGAGTTTGATTCTCGTTCTCTCTTCTTCCGCTCCCAATACCCTAGCTAGAAAACCTTCACTGCATATTCTCCACTCATTTTACTCTATTTTTTTGTGCGCATTATCTAAATTCAGGAAGATCAATTAACTAATGGATTTGATAAGTTGGTGGAATAGAAGCACAAGGGACTACTCAATACTGATTGGAGCAAAGGCAGCAAGTTCAAACAAGTTGCCTTCTTCTAGCTAATGCACACAAAGGCAGCAAAGGAGTAGTGCCCCAGTCAAATGGCAGATGTGGAGCTCAAATATACAAGAAGAGTCATCATGTGTGGTTGGGAACCTTCGATGACGAAGAAGAAGCTGCTTTAACCTACAACAATGCTTCGTTAAAGTTCTGGGGTCTTGATGCCATCACAAATTCCAGTCGGAACCAAAGGACACCCTACGAACGTGATGTCACTGAGGCTCTTTTCTTGGAGTCCCATTCCAAGGCTGAGACCGTTGACATGCTTCGAAAACATTCTTATGCCAACGAGCTCGAGATGTAGAAGCATAAGTTGTACAATGGTGGTGCCCTAGGCCTTGATGCCGGCGGAAAGCGTATGAAGTGTCACCTTGATTTAATGGACACATGTAGTAGCGAGAGGGAGTTGCTTTTCGAGAAGGTGGAACCACCAAGCGATGTAGGGAGATTGAAACGCATCGTTATACCAAAACAACATGCAGAGAAGCATTTTCAGGTTCATTTGAGTGTAGGGTTTGGTAAAGGGATGTTGTTGAAATTTGAGGATGTGGTGGGTAAAGTGTGGAGGTTTGGGTATTGTTATTGGAGTAGTAGTCAGAGTTATGTGTTGAGCAAAGGGTGGATTCGCAAAGCGAATCCAGCTTTCAGCTTTTTCTCCTTCACAAAGCGAATCCATCCTTTGTTCTTTCTCCAAAAACCTAAGTTCTTTCTCCACCAAAAATTTCCAAACACTTTTTCTCTCAAATTCTAACTTTTGCATCGGAAATTCTTCGGCCAAAGCATCCCCCCCCACAAAACAATTCATCGTAGATTCGTGAGACTTTTGGCCTTAATCTTAGATGTTATTATTTTGCAGATGCATTTTCGTCAAATGAAAAAACGGGCGAAAATTTGCATCCATAATTATGATCTTTTTGTTCAACACATTGATTATGTCTGGGTTCAAACTCAATTTCAAACCCTCACCCCTTATTTACTTTTCAAGTTCCAAGTAAAAAGTCAGGGATTTAAATTCCCATTCCCCAATTTTATATTTGTCAACTAGCTTTTCATATTCTATTGGGCCTCTATAATAATTTATTTGGGCTCATAGGCCCATGAAGCAGTCCAATATAAACGCATTCCTAAACGAAGGGCCCAAATCCTTCTGGAATTCACAAATCTAATGTCAAAGATAACTCCTAGAACCAACAAAAATTCCAGAAGAACATCAAAAGCTAATTTCTCTAACTTCATTTTGGTTCACCACCATTTAATGCAGTGTATGCTCAACACATAACTCTAACTACTACTCCAATAACAATACCCAAACCTCCACACTTTACCCACCTCATCCTCAAATTTCAACAACATCCCTTTACCAAACCCTACACTCAGATGAACCTGAAAATGCTTCTCTGCATGTTGTTTTGGTATAACCATGCGGTTCAATCTCCCTACATCGCTTGGTGGTGCCACTTTCTCGAAAAGCAACTCCCTCTCGCTACTACATGTGTCCATTAAATCAAGGTGACACTTCATACGCTTTCCGCCGGCATCAAGGCCTAGGGCACCACCATTGTACAACTTATGCTTCTACATCTCGAGCTCGTTGGCATAAGAATGTTTTCGAAGCATGTCAACGATCTCAGCCTTGGAATGGGACTCCAAGAAAAGAGCCTCAGTGACATCACGTTCGTAGGGTGTCCTTTGGTTCCGACTGAAATTTGTGATGGCATCAAGACCCCAGAACTTTAACGAAGCATTGTTGTAGGTTAAAGCAGCTTCTTCTTCGTCATCGAAGGTTCCCAACCACACACGATGACTCTTCTTGTATACTTGAGCTCCACATCTGCCATTTGACTGGGGCACTACTCCTTTGCTGCCTTTGTGTGCATTAGCTAGAAGAAGGCAACTTATTTGAACTTGCTGCCTTTGCTCCAATCAGTATTGAGTAGTCCCTTGTGCTTCTATTCCAGCAACTCATCAAATCCATTAGTTAATTGATCTTACTGAATTTAGATAATGCACACAAAAAGATAGAGTAAAATGAGTGGAGAATATGCAATGAAGTTTTCTAGTTAGGGTATTCGGACCGGAAGAAGAGAGAACGAGAATCAAACTCTATTTCTAGTGTAATTTGATCTGTGGGAAGAAGATGATGCGAATAACCGGTCGGACTTCCACACTCTAAAGTTTGATTAGTTCTTATTTCTTCAGAATTGAGATTCTCGCAATCTGACCTACAAAGATGAAAATGAAACACTGTTTTTAGGGTTTGTATTTGGATTCGCAAGATTTGGAGAACTAGAACCAGACTCTTTTTCTGTAAATATGTTGAAGATAGGCACGACCAATCGCCGTTCTAATTTATAGAAGCGTGTGATGTTAAAAATATTGGTTGTAGGATGGTGTATTAATAGTAAAACCTACTTGAGCAAGTGGGATGGTTTCACAAAGAATTTTACATTATTTTACTGAAGGGTAATGATAAAGAAATCAAATTTTTTAAACTAAATTTGTAAATAAAATGATGTGATGGTAGATGATTGGATTATTAATTAAATGTCGATTAACGTGCTTGTTTCTTATTGATGACACATCATTTGATTTAAAAAATTTGATCTCCCTAACATTACTCTTTATTGAAACTTTCATGTTATATATGCCTTACCTCATACGATCTAAAACGAAATAAAAAAGAAAAAACTGCTTCTAGAAATTAGAATTCCTTCTCACCTCCTTAGAATAATCGTGTGTAATTATGTGAAAAAAGAATTATACTTAGCAATGCACTATTAAATCAGACGGGCTAGGCACCTTATTCAAAAGGTAGAGATTCATCTTTCAAATGGCCAGTGGAAGAATGCCCTGTGGAGCTTGGGGAATACAGTTGGGCGTAAAAATTATAAATTCCCATTTTTTTCCAATTGGATTTTAGAAAAATATAAAAATTGGGAGGGTCTGTCAGACAATCGTGTAACCACCCCAGCCGGTTGTTACAACGGCTGACAGCGATCACCTACCGCTCAAACGATCCAAGAGTCGTAGGGCTGTTAATCACGGTCTGATCACAAGGTCATGGTTAATTCACCCGACTGAGGTTCCCGTCTCCATAGCAATCAAGGACACAAATGTACAACCCATAGAGCAGACCCTCTTCACGTATTATTATACTTGGGAGTACCGACTTAAATATTGCGTATGTGGAAAAATTTCTCCATCAAGAAAATTTTGTTAAACTACCTGGTACTCTACTATCGTAACACAAATAGAACACAAAAAAACATATAGTTGCATCGAAACCGTCATGGAATAGGGTGTGAGGGTCCATATGATGAAGGTTCACTTGTAGTTTCGCTTATTGTTCTAATAGAAAGACTTGTTGAAAATCTAGTTGATCAGAAAGGCACGGGAGTTTTGGGCATACTTTCTCTCACTCTCCTGAACATTCTAACTTCATTCCAAACGAGATTATTGGCGTTTAGTTAAATATTCTTAATTATCGTTATGCGTCCACAAAAAGAGAATAAACAATAAATTTTAGTTTGCTAGATGGTCCCCCAAATAGTAATCGTAAAGTTTTAGCAACATAGGTTTGGTCTTATTTTTTTATTTTTATAAATATTTATGAAGATTAGTTTAAGTTCAAAAGAAAGGAATTAAAAAAAAAGACTGTTACGATAATCCCCAACCTTCTATGAGTTATACAGTTATAGTTAGAAGAAACGATACGTGTCAGATGATTAGATGTATAGTGAGCATACATCATAGTTTATGATAGTGAGCAAAAATACTTCCATATAAAATAGAGTTGAATAAATTATTTGTTATGTAATGAAAACGAGGGAAAATCAGGCATTGATACCGAACCATATATTCAAATTGGGTTCCTAAAAACAATTTATCTTTAATCTCCCAACAATGAACTAGTAATGTGCAATGCGTTGAATAATTCAAATTAATTTCTTTGTTTATTAAATTTCTATTCTCATTAACTCGAGCCAAATTTAAGTTCGAGGTCACGGTCGAGTTATCCGCCAACAAACCATGACCTCGAGCCTGATCCACTAACGAATCGAGCTGGACTTCAGCTTGAATAAATCATTCCAGCCGAGCCTGAACACAACCATATATATGCTTCGCAGATAATAAAACAAGCATGAGGCCATCGGATATCTTCATGAAATGACATGAACATTTTTTACTTGATTGACTTTCGGTTCAGTCCCCAGCTAGCTAGCTTAGGCTATATAATTTCCAAAACAACAGATCATCTAGGGTTAGCTAGCTGCTAATTAAGCTGAAAAAATAATTTTAGAAATGGAAATAAGAGGCTTTGATTTCAAACATTGATAAGAAAAAAGGTTAATGTAACAAGATTTTATTCATAATAAACGATAACTAATTCTCATAACCAAACCGAATTAACCATATGATAAAAACAAGAACAATACATGCGATTTTTTACCAGTAGTGTTTCATCATAGATACATAGTGTAACAAATATACGTGATTTTTTTACTAGTAGTGTTTCACTGTAACGTTACATTGTGTAACAAAGTATGCATTTGGAAGGTCCACAAAAACCGTATTACACATAATATATCCTCGAGCAAATCGAAACTTTCCAGTACCTGAAACAACTGATAATTCTCTATGTTGCTCGAATTGCTTATCAATTCCTTGTATCTGAAGAGTGCTTCCATTGTACTCCTTGTTTGTGAACATAATTGATAACATATCATAGGAATTACGTCCATCCAATGACGTTACCATAAACATGCCTTGTATCCGGCCAACGGAGGCGGATTTTAGGTCTATGCCCTCCGTTAAAGGGGCATCCTCCGCATAAACAGTGGCAAATTGATCGTAGTTCCAAATCTTGCCGGGAATACCTGCAAACGCAACATCTGTGATATTTGGACCAGATAAGAAGTCATGAGCGTAGAAAGACAGGTGGGTTTCCTTGGACTCGTGAGTAGCTCGGATCGCTGGAAATGTAGTCATGGCTAGAACAACCATGACGAAAAACAAGGATGGAGCATTGAGCTTTGGTATGAATTTTAACGCCATTAGTGGATGCATGACAACTAATTGAGCAACCAAGAGAAAAGGTTAATTAGAAAAAATTGGGGAACAATTAAGGTTTTGAAACTGCTTGGTGAGGTTCAGTCATGGGTATGCTTTCAATTTATAGCATGAAAAATGTAGGTAGTCAAAGTTTACTAACTCAATACCAGAATATGTGGGTGACAAGTTTCCAAAAAGATAAAAAAAAAAAAAATTATGTGGGTGATAATTTTTCTAACCCTATCACATCTCTCACTGTCACTCTCAATAAAATTGGACAAAAGAAAGAAAGAAGCAGCAAGTTTTGAGAAAAATATTAGGAAGAGTTTACAACTTTTATTTGTAGAATGGGATTACTTCAAACGTACATAGACATCTCTCTTATAGAGATTTTACAAAGACTTTCTATACATGCGATCCGTGTAAAAGTCCTAGGGTTTTTATCACAAATGATCTCTGAAATTGACCCATTTCATCAAGATAGTACCTTGAAATTGAAAATCAATTAATGTAATCCCTGAAAATAGATGTCGTAAATCAATCTAGTTCTTCCGTTACAATTCTATAAAAAATTCTGTTAAGTGATGACATGACATATAACTAAACCCTACAAGTCTAATTAAATATGCCAAGTGGATTAAAAATATTTTAAATTAAAAAACAATTTTTATTTTTGTAAAAAAAAATAATAATAAAAAATAAAAATAAAAAATAAAAACGAACGCATCTTCTTCTCATCCCAACTGAACACAATCACACCTGCACTACACCCAAACCCCTCCACACGATTTTAATTCCCAATACATCAACAACTTTGAAAAGTTTGGTGATGGAATTGATATAACAATAAACCAAAAAAATTAGCTACAGCTTCTCCACCCCCGTCATCACCTCCTCCAGCATAGCCACCACCTTCTCCACCAGCTGCCTCTCCTTCGGCTACGTCAGAACCCCCACTAGATGCTTCCCCACCACCTCCATCAGAAGGTTCGCCCCTCCCAAATCTTCCCAAACACCTCCAGCAGAAGCCTCACCTCACCTCCACCTAAATCCAGAGTCCCCACCTCCTCCAGCTGATGTCCCGCCCCCTTCGCCCGATTCTTCACTAGCACCACAAGGAGAAACACCAGAAAAATCTCCTCCATCCTCCACCGTCACACCTCCTCCATCTGGTTCCAAATCTGCTCCTCCACCAGCTAATAACTCATCCCCTGCACCCACGACGCAATCACCACCTCCTTCGGTCCCTTCAACCCCTGGTACTTCGCTTCTTTAACTTCCCCATTAATTGAGAAATTAATACAATAAGAAAGGATTTGGGTGTGGTTGTGTTCGGGTGGGATGAGAAGAAGATTGACATCTTCCCTTTTTTTTTTTTACCTTCTTTTAAGTTTTTAATTATACAAAAGATAACGTTGTTTTGAATATTGTTTTTAATTGTTTAAATATTTTTAATCCACTTGGTAATATTTAATTAGATTTGTGAGATCTAATTATGAAACCGATATATTAGATTAATTTACGATACTTATTTTTAAAGACTATACTGATTGATTTTCAATTCCAACGACCATCTTGTTGACGATGAGATGGGTCAATTCCACGAACATCAACAACTAATGTTTGTTGACGATGAGATGGGTCAATTCCACGAACATCAACAACTAATGTTTAACAGCAACCGAAGACTACGACATGAAAAAACAAAGGAACCACACAAGTGGTTTTAATAAACAATACAAAACAAAGACTTTCTAAACCTAGTGTTGAAATCTATCATAGACACGCACAAAAGCTATCAAACAAAAAACACGTATGACTGTTGAAAAAACAAGGCAGCTATAGAAAAAAAAGAAAAGAAAACAACATGCTAGCTGAGAAGTGTTCCACCAATTTCGGCCCCTCAATAGCTGTTGATTTGAACTTTCAACACGCCCCCTCAAATCAAAATGCCTTCATACCTAGCATTTCACGTAGCAACTTGAATGACTCAACTGGCAGTGGCTTTGTGAAGAAGTCAGCCACTTGTTCCTTCTTGTGCCAATAGACAAGCTCAATTGTCCTTTGCTTCACCTGGTCCCTCAGAAAATGGAACCTGGTATCACTGTGCTTGCTCCTTCAATGTTGGACTGGATTCCTAGCAAGCTTGATAGCTGAAATGTTATCCACATGAATCACAGTCGATTCCACTTGTGGATGACATAAGGATTTCAACATATTTCTTAACCAAATTGCCTCACACACAGTTAAGGCTACAACAACGTACTTAGCTTCACATGATGACAAAGCAACAATTGATTGCTTCTTTGAAGTCCATGAGAAAGTTGTTGATCCTAGAAAAAGCACATAGCCAGTTGTGCTTTTCCTTTCATCTTGGTCACCTCCCCAATCACTATCTGAATAACCAAATAATTTTGCACCTTCACCAAAATTATAGAATAGACCATAGTTTAGAGTACCTCTTATGTACTTCAAAATTCTCTTGGCAACCAGTCAATGAGACCCTCTTGGTGTTTTCATGTACCGACTCACGAGTCCAACACCATAAAATATATTTGGTCTTGTGATTATAAGGTACCTTAGGCTTCCAACGAGACTTTTGTACACAATTGAGTTTACAAACTCACCTTCTCCTTCCTTGGACAGCTTCAATCCAGTTGCAACTGGAGTATTGACAGGATTGCACTTGTCCATATTGAACTTCTCCAATATGTCTCTCGTGTACTTTTGTTGAGAGATGTAGATACCATCACTTTCTCGCTTCACCTCTATGTCAAGAAAGTATGAGATTAATCCATTGTCAATCATCTCGAATTCATTGAACATGGATTGCTTGAACTCACAGAACATTGTTTCATTATTTCTTGTAAACAACAAGTCATCTACATAGAGACAAAGAATTAAGAAATCCCATTTTGTACATTCTTCATGTAAACTGAATGCTCATATAGACATTTCTGAAATCCATTTTGGTGAAGGTAGTTATCAATCCTTGAGTTCCATGCTTATGGTGCTTGCTTGAGGCCATACAAAGCCTTCTTCAAATGATACACCTTATCTTCTTTTGGAAGCTTTTGGTTGTTCCACATACACTTTTTCCTCAAGAACTCCATTAAGGAAAGCTAACTTGACATCTAGTTGATAAATTTTCCATTTATGTTGAGCAGCAAGATAGATTAGCAATCTTACCGTGTCAAGTCTTGCAACTGGAGCATAGACTTCATTATAGTCCACTTTATACTTCTATTTGTAGCCCTTCGTTACAAGCCTTGATTTGTACCGATCTACACTCATATCTACGGTGCGTGTGATCTTGTACACCCACTTGACATCAATAGCCTTCTGATTTGGTGGGAGCTTTGTCAACTCCCAAGTGTCATTCTTCTCAATGCATGGATTTCTTCCTCCATGGAAGTTCTTCAACAATCTTCTTCCATAGCTTCATTGAATGAGAGAGGCTCGTGGTCTGCATACAAGCAGAAAATGTTGGTTTTTTCTTCTTCTTCTTGTCCATATATCTCGGTGAGACTTCTTAGCCTTATTGGAGTTGAGGAGCTGCTTTCTTCACTGGATGTAGGACCACTCTTTGTAGTTCTGTGCAATGGAGTTGTTATGATTTATTAAGCAGGCTGTTACTCAACAGGTGGTACAACTTTTGATTCTTCAAAAGTAGTGGAAACAATCTTCTCTTTATTAACTTCTTTGTTGTTCCACTTCCATGCCTCTTCCTCACTAAAGATGACATCTCTACTAACCACTAGTTTGCCAGTTAGTGGGTCGTGGAGCTTGTATGCCTTGGACTCTTCACTATAGCCCATAAACACACACCTTTCACCTCGATCATTGAGCTTCCTCCTATTGGCTTTTGGAACTTGAGCATATGCAATACACCCAAAAACTCTTAGGTGTGAAACATTCGACTTGTATCCACTCCAAGCTTCTTTTGGTGTCATCCTCTTGACACTCTTTGTTGGACATCGATTCAACAAATAAATCGAACAAGCTACAACTTATGCGCACAATTATTTTGGAAAATTCTACTCTTTAAGCATGGACCTTGTCCTATCAAGGATGGTTCGATTCTTTCTTTCGATTATCCCATTTTGTTGTGGGGTATAGGTAGCAGTTAGTTGATGCCTAATTCCTTGCTCCTTGCAGTGTGCTTAGACAGCATTGGAGGTGTACTCTCCATTTCTATCTGATCTCACAGCCATAAGCTTATGGTTACTTTCAGCCTCTGTGAGTGCCTTGAATTCCTTGAAAACTCTTAGGGCAGCTGACTTCTCATTGAGAAAATAAACTTAAGTCTTCTTGCTAAAATCATCAATGAAGGTAATAAAATACCTATTACCTCCATAAGACATGGGCTCCAATGGACCACATATATCTGTGTGCACCAACTGCATTGGTGTCTTTGCTATCTATGTATCACCAATAGGGAATGAGAGCTGTGCTTTCTTGCCAAGCACACAACCTTCACATACTTGGCATGTGGCTTCAATCTAGGGTAGACCATGAACCATTCCTCTACTTGACAGCAACTTTAGGCAATTGAGATGAAGTTGGCCAAACCGAAGATGCCATTTCAATGACTCATCTTCCAGCACACCGATGTTGCAACTTCCAATCTTTGTGTTCAAATTTAATAGGAACATTCAATTCTTTGACATTCGAACATGTGCAATGAGCTTTTTCCTTGCATTCCTGAGAGTGAGAAGCATATTCTCCATATGTGTAATGTACATTTTCTCTCTCAATAAAATTGGACAAAAGAAAGAAAGGAAGAAGCAGCACATTTTGAGAAAATTATTCTAAATAGTTTACAACTTTTATTTCTGGAATGAGATTACTTCAAATGTACATAGACATCTCTCTTATAGAGATTTTACAAGGACTTTCTAGACATGCTATCCATGCAAAAGTCATAGGATTTTTATCACAAATGGTCTCTGAAATTGACCCACTCCATCAAGATGGTCTTTGAAATTGAAAATCAATCAATGTAGTCTCTGAAAATGGATGTCGCAAATCAATCTAGTTTTTCCGTTACAATTCCATCAAAAATTCTGTTAAGTGATAACATGACATATAACTAGACCCTACAAGTCTAATTAAATATCCCACGTGGATTGAAAATATTTTAAATTAAAAAACAAATTTTCTTTTTTTTTTGTAAAAAAAAAAAATTAAAAAAAAAAGACGAACGCATCTTCTTCTAATTTTGATGAAAATTAACCTTAATATTATATGTTAACATACACCTTCTCAGCTGACATTTGTCTTTTCAATTAACTATAACTAACTTTAATATTATATGTGCTTTTTCTAATTTTGAAGAAAATTAACTATGATTAAGTAAAAAAGACACGTGTCAAATGATGAGGTATATGGTGAGCATACACTATAGTTCATGGTGGTGATAAAAAATGCAGCTGACAAGAAATGAGCAAAGTGAACAGATGAAAGCAAAGAAGAAAAAAAATAATATGTTGTCTACGTTAGGGATAAAATTACTTTTTTGTAATGTACATGAAAAAGATGAATAGAAAATTAATGAAAAATTCCAAAATCCAATTGTAGGAGAAAATTAAGGACTTGTTTGGTATCTTACTAGAGTTTAACTTTTTAAACTAAAAAACACTTATTGAGTTTTAGGCTTTAAATATTTGTTTGATAGGACTCTTTTAAAAACTGGATTCCAAACCAACTTAAAAATATAGGCTATATTTTAAAAATGGGTAAATTATATTTTACCACCTCAAATTTGGGGTCAATTGCAATCTCATACAATATCTTTAAAACATTTCAATCTTATACATTAATTATTATTTTATTTCAATTTTATACATCTGTTATACAATATGTTAAGTTTGCCGTTAAATAATAACGTGACAAAAATAAAATCAATATTTGTGCTGATATTGCTGCTAACTTTGCACCATGTGGATAAAAAGAAATAAAATGATATTAATTAATAACAAAATTAAAAACAAGAATTGAAAAAAAAAGTTCATCTTCTTCATCATATTTTCCGATGCCAAAATGGAAGCAATTCGAAGTCGGTCCCTCGAAAATCAACGGAAGAGTCTTGAAATCTCTTCGGCAGAAAACAGTCAACGTCCTCTCAATAATATAAAGGCTTAATCCAATTGTTACTGTTTTTTTGGAATCGCGGAGGAGGAGAGTTATTTTAGGGTTTTCTGTAATTGCAAATCTCCCAAGTCCCAACCAATTCAAGTTGTACCTCGAGAGAACACGATGGAGGTGGCAAGCGATATGAGTGTCGGGTTCATTTGAGATGCGGTGGGAATGGAAATGGCTGAGAAGCGAGAATCCTAAGGCCTTTGCTCTCT